TCTTTAAGTACACTGCATTGCATGTATGATTCAAAAAATGTGTTTCTTGTCACAGTAGTTTTATTTACAAGAAAACAAACAGTGCTCTCTTTTACACTGTGCTGAAAATCAAGCTGTTGAAATTCCTTTGGGCATTTGACTTTCGCACTATTTTGATTCAGCCACATGCTGGTCATAGTTCTGAACCTAAACCACAGTTGATGAAGAAAAATAAGGACAGAATGACTTAATAGCCTTATCATATGTTCTGTGTGTGCTCTGCGTGCTTTTACTACTGTCTCAAGTCAAAGACCGTACTAAAAACAAGATCATCTTCTGTGATGGATGTGGTGCAGTCTTAAATTAACGTGACACATGAAAGTCTACAGAAATCAATGGCCTTTGACACAACTATAATGTGAATGAATCTATAATAATACTCAATAAAATAACACCATAAATAAAGATATCGAAAAAATGATTATTTAAAGGTATTTTTTTATATTTGGAACATTTGTTTTAAAATACCGTCCTTAGAAATAATACCAAAAAAATGGTCTCAGAACAATCTGCTCCATGTTCAATAGCTGCTAAGCAGTAAACTCAAGATAAATAAATACACTATATATATCAATATTTCTGTATTCACTCTGGAAATACCTTTTATCTGTGATTTCTTCACATGAATGTACAAGACAACAGTTCCATTCTCCATTCATTATGATGTTAACAAATGTTATTAAGGAACTGCAGATTTGCCATACTAATAAAAATCAAATGATCAGATAAGGAGAGAAAACAGATGTGAACTTTTAAGCATTTAGCATCCACTGTGACTCAAACACCAGCTCTCAAACATGTACAGAGAAAGACATAGGTTTTATCAATTTATCAAGAGAAAACGAACTTGCCTGATGAATGGTTTTCAATCAATGAGACCATGAGATAATAGCTGATGTGGGAAAGTGTTTTAATAAAGGAAGGCTTATAAACCTGAAGTGAGGAAAATGCAGTGTCACAGTCGAGAGAGAATACATTACACAGCAGCTATGATACAAGCAACTCTTCTTCTGTTTGGGGGGGGAATGGTTACCAAAAAAGATAAAAAAGAATAAAAGAAATATTAATAAACTGACAAAAAAACAATGACTTTAGTTTGTGAGGAATCAAATGTTCTATATATTGTTTCTAGTATAAATCTACCATTCTTTTTAGATGTGAAATAGCACATGGTAGTACCTGCGCACTCACAAAACAATGTGTGTAATTTTCTGAATATGAAAAAAGACTTAATGACCTTATTTTTCTCAGCTGAATGAAACACTTATCGTGTAGAGAGTTTTTTATTATTTTTTTTTATCTTGTGCAGTCTGACCTGGAAGACTTTTTGGATTAACAGAGGCTCCCTCTGGTGGCCAGTCGTATGATAATAACAGCAAATTACATGGGATTAAGACCTTGCGTAAAGTAACCTGAGTGTAAGAATTAGATTTAAGACATGATTTAAAAGTGCTAACAGCTTTTTAAAACAAAGAAGATATCAACATTAGCTGCTTAACACCCAACCTATTTGACTATCAACATTCAGCACAGTTTCATTGTTTAAAATACATGGCAGTGTCCATAGAGTTTTTCTTCGAAAGGAATAATGTTTCCCTTCATGTACGATGAGAACATATTTCTCAGTATGTTTATTGAGAAAATAATTGGGGATTAAACAAGAAGAAGAAGGATGGGAAAAAAGAAGAAGGCTAATTCATCTTTGATGAATTCACATAACAAAAGGTGAATGAACCTTGATCTTTGTGTCCATCTCATTCCAAGTTCTGCATTGTTGTGCCTACTGCAGTGCGGCATGGCCTAATTATTTCAGTGTTGTACTGTTACAGATTCTAGAGCACTCTGGAAACAGCCCCATAGGACCTACATTTCCCGAATATTTTCTTAGAAGGCAACATGCTTGTTTAGGTACAGTATGTGTAACAAAATATTAAATTCAAACTCCACAAAGTTAATTGCGAAAAATGGTTTGTCTCTTAGCCCAACAATACCTTATAGTATTTCAGAAGAGCCCGAGGTTTAGGACTGTAGAGGTGTGGAAGTCTGCACATAAAAACAGAAGAGAAAATACAACTTGTTTTTTAGGTTTACACTAGGCTTACATAATACACACACATAACAACTGTTTTTCCTCCAGCTCTTTCAGCTTTGACAGTGTGAAATTCTGATTGCAGGGAAAGAGTCATGCCTGCATAGTTTTGCTAAACTAACCTTACAATGAGCAAGTGTTATATCATGGTAAGCATCTCGTTTTACAACCTGGCTAGATTTTATTAATTTATTTTAATGATAAGTAATCTGAGTCATTTGAGTGCCCTAAATCTGGGACTTATACATACACGTGTTGTGTCTGTGCAGATTTCTTAGTGTCACTGTTGCTTTGTAGGAATTTTATCAAATGGATTAATTTTGTGGAATTGTGTCCTTATTTGTTCACCAAATACAGTAACTACTTCAACTACAAAAAAACTGCTTCCAGAACTTCTTAGATCTAATTTTAATTAACCATAAACATAAATAATATTGTAAGCAACAGACAACAAATAAAAAGGGGGGAACTGCAGATGACTATCATTTTCAATAGAGGCAAATATGAGCTCATTTGTATTTACAGTGCCCTCTGGTGGAAAATGTCTTATGGTTTGCTTAAGATAGTTGGTACTGTACATCCAGTTTCACCTTTCTCTGTTTACTTACAGTATATTACCTTGCAAGGACTATTATTAGTTCTTTAAAATTCCAAAAGCATCTAAAATTGTGCCTTCCTGTGCATGTGCAGTTGGTAGATGTACATTTTAACAAAATACACCCACTGGACCACCCTCAAGGTACTGATTCTAGCTCCAAGACTGCACTGTGCTGCCAATGTTCAGATCCACCACATCTGACAAAAGATCATGAGCTGTTCATTTCAGCTGTTTCCTCCTGCCCTTCGTTTTATGAAAATGAAAGCAACTGTTGTCCAGAAACAAAAACAAAAAAAATACCACGTCCAATATCACAAACGAGAGACCATTCCTCCGAAAGGATCGAGTGTTTTCTGCGTTCCTCTGTGTGGGCTAATCACGTTAAAAAAAAGCATGAGAGACTCAGACCCTGCCCTTCATATTCGTGGTTCATGTTGTGCTTGTTCTAGCCATAGTAAAAAAAAAGGCAAATTCAAACAGGTTTAGGAGCTGACAATTACAGATCTAAGGGTTTGGTTATGTAACAGAAACCAGCAGGTGCGCAAGCTGTGGACATCTTCAGTCTTTTCTACCCTCTGGCACTCCGGGGTCAGAGGTGGGGACAGACTTGAGTATCAGTAACACAAAATCTAGCAATACTGCTACAAACTGTGCACGGTCGCCAAAAAGACAGCCTTACATCTCAACCAGCGCAGGGGGCTTCACGAAAAGGCTCAGTCTGACCCCACTGCTCTTTCACACTGGGTTCATCTAGGCATTGAGAGCACACATCCCTGCCAGCTCTGGGCCACGTGTACAGTATTGGCATGTGAACCGCCGTTCATGTCCACGTCACCCGTGGCTTAATTCAAGGGGCTGCCGCCACCATCCAGGAGCGCTTCAAAAGCGACTGTGGACGAGGACGATGAGGAGCCAGAGGCACCACGACAGTACATCCTCGTCTGGATGGGCCCGGTCTGTTCATCCTCTCTTTTTAGCTTTCTGCCATTTGAATTAAAAACAACTTTCATGGGATCCGTGACTGGTTAACACGAAAAATTCAATCCAAGATTTTCATTGGCTGTTTTTTCTTCTTTGAAATGTGAATAACCTATTGTTCACGTTATAATAATAATAATAATAATAATAATAATAATAATAATGGAAGAAGACGTTACATTTTAGTGCAAGGGTGACACCTGCGGTTTAATCTGAGAATTGCGTTTTCTGGAGTTATCGTGCTCTTCCACGTCTTGCATATTGCATTAATTTATACACGCACTAGGTGTCTTGTGGGGAATTTTACCGCTAGATATGACTAATCTAATGTAACGTATACCAAATATTCTACTTCCCCTACAACAGTAGCAGGATGACTAATATTTATTCTAATGTAGCATTTCACGGATGTGCTTATTCTCTACATAAAAATGCAACAACATATATATATACGCATACATATACATACGTATGTACTGACATTTGGGTTGGGTTTTAATTTGATTTAATTTGTCAGTAAGATGGCACTTTGATAACAACAATAATAATAGAATAAATAATTCATTCCTTTACCCCCCAAAGTATCCCAAAAAGATTTGACTGAACTATACAGGACGGGTCCATCTACTGAGTGCCAGAAGCCCCACTGCGCACAGACCAGGGGGAAATGAAACATTACTTCACCGGGAGAGTTGGGGAGGAATTTTAAGGAAGGCCATATTTTACAAGCCCAGAGTGGAATTTAGCCAGGACACAAGGATTAGCACGCCTACACTTGCGATCGGTGACTGTTGGCCAAGTAGCCAGGACCTCAATTAAACTAATCCGAAGGATTAGACCTTCTTCCGCACAGTGTACCCAGTCACTGTACTGAGCATTAGTTTGGGAAAATGCGGTCTAGAAGAAAGAGCTCCACCAACACCACTTACAGCAGCAGGCTGCTATCCTGTTTTTACTGAAGGACTGAATGGAGGACTCGCAATCTTATAGTGACCAGGCCCAGCCTTGCTTTTTCTATTACCGTAGGAGTGCAATAAAGAAAAAGGTCATTATAAATTACATATTTAATAGCTGTCCCGTGAGGTCTATCTTGCTTATTTATAACACTGACTTTCCTTGGTAGGTTTTGTCTTATGTACGCTGTGTTAGGACACAATATGCCCTCTGTTTCGTCAGAGGAGCGTTTCCTAACGTCCCCATACTGTCACTTTGTGTAACTAACAGTAACGTCATGGTGTTTTTTAGTCGTTCACCGTTGCTAAGGAAATTACGTAGCCTAATGATGTCATTTGCCATAGCACCAACTACCCGGAAGTAGTAAAAACCAAAACAGACGACTCAGTCTTGTGTTTACTTGCTAAAAAACTAATCGATTTAATACTTATATGAAATAAATATATTAGCTTTAAAATAAAGGATATGTAATTTATCCACGACGCAGTGAACTCGGAAATAATCTCTTCTGTAGGTGTCGGATTTTGGAAAAGACTTCGTTTAGGGTGGAAGTGAAGATCAAGTAACCGAAACTCGTGATGATGGAGAAGATAACGAAAGGTTGGTTTGCAAATGAAAGGAAAACGAAGCCAAACAAAGTTTTAAAAAAAAATGTGAATTAGGAGCTTGTCAAGTGACTCGTGTGGATATTTTAGCCCTTTCTTGAGCTCAAGAGCTGGTGTTGTGATTATACTGTAGTAGTGACTTATGATTTTTAAATGACAGACTGGCGTCAACACTGTATGATGTCTAATGTTCAATGAATCAGCTGCTAAGTAATAAGACTACATTACCGAATTATTTCAGCAATATCAGCTTCAGCTATATTGGTCTTGGTCAATTTTTTAAATAACTTTTTTTTGTTTTTGTTTTTTTAGATGTTGGGGACATCCAGTCCAGATTGCTGGATCACAGACCCGTTGTGCAGGGTGAGATTCGATACTTTGTGAGAGAATTTGAGGTAAGTGTTGCTGCCCGTACAGACACGGTAATGTAACCCGCGCTAAAGCATACATTATGACACCGAAGCTGTTTTTGCTCTGCGACCCTCAGTTCTGAAGATAATCAGGATGGTTAGGAAGGAAAGGAGGCCCTAGGGTCCTCTAAACTAGACTAGGACGTTGCATTCTGAATTAATAGCAGCATGCTGCCCCAGACGTGACTTCTCTCTTTTTGTTCACATCTCGTGTGAAAAACAAAAACCACTGTTCGTTTGCACAACCTGAGCTTCCCTTTTAATAACTTGACAGGAATACACAGAAAATCTAGAATGCCTCCTCTTTTACAGCATTAATGAAACTTTTTATGCACAGTTCTCCTCGTTTGGTTCCCTGCAAAACCCGAATTCCCATTTAGAAAATAGTCAGTCTGCACCATCTCAGGACCCTTCTTAGCTCCTTCTCAAACCCAGCCCAGTCTTGTCCTGCTCAGGCACTGTGTCTTTAGGTAGTGGGCCTATTATAACTGCAGCCAGAAAAGAGTATTTAGCAAGGATGAGATACTCTATACATTGTACTTGCCTGCATTTACTTGTCGATACTGTTTTTATGGACAGCTCGAACCCTATGACTTGTACAAGTAAGCTAATGTGGCTGCTGATTCTTTCATCCAAACTGACTTACATTAAACTCAGTCAAACAGCCGGGTCTTTTACTGCAGCAGTTTGGGTGAAGGAGTGCTTTGGGTACAAGAGAAGAGCCAAGGAATTGCTTTAATCAAGGTGACTTACACTGATGACCATCACACAACTGTGTAAGTCAACAGCAGTGCAAAATATGCAAAAATACAGGAAAACAATCAGGGCAACACGCCCAACAGCATCATATGTGACTCAATGGGAGGCACAGAAGATATTGCAAGACTGCGAGGAATAGTGGTAGCTTCTAAAACCGCAGTTTAACACAAGCAAGACCGGAGCAGTAATATTCAGTGTTCATCAGTTCCAGCCATGGAGGGACAAAACAAGGGGCAACTGCAGAGACCCTCCGGGTTCCACTCGTGCTCAGTAGTAAAAGAAATACACACGTCTTGAAGGGAGGGAAGGCGGTATAATCCCAGCGTCCTCAGCAGCGGAGGAGGGGGGAACAGCGAGGGCCCGACGGGGGACGTGGTTCGTGTCGCAGGCGGAGAGCGTCATCTGCGCGGCAGGCAGAGAGCTCAACGATGCCAGGGGAACCACCGGGGTTTTCTCATCTCGCTCTTCCGCTGTCCGCGCAGGAGAAGCGAGGCTTCCGGGAGAGCAGGCTGCTGGAGAACCTGAACAGAATGGTGGCAGAGACACAGGAGCAAGCCCTTCCCACGTGCACCCAGGCCTTGCAGGAGGACCTCCGCCAGGTCCTAGCCAGATGTGAGTGTGTACTGGCAACAGCGCGGAGTGGGGTTTTTTTTATCCTGCTGTGCCAAAGGAATGGTGTAAGAATGTTTTAGGCCTGTTTCTGTGCGTGAGTTCGATAGCATGCTTTCGGTTCCAGGTGGAGTGTGAGCTTTCTTTGTGAGGACTGTGACTATAAGAAGGAGAGACATATATGACCATATGATTATTACAGGTAATCCACAAGCTGCTCAGAATGCCTGGCAACACTTAAGAAGCCACTCGAATAAAATGAAAGTCTTTCAGTTTTCCGAATACTACATATGTACTGACTAAAAGCAAGAGTTTTCAGAATGGTATTGATCCAGTTGAGAAATCGGTCGATTGGAATAAAGAAATTGAATTGGGTAATCTCAAAAATATTTCCTTAAATATTTCCTTAAAGTGCACATCAGGGACTTCACCACTTTGAAGGAATCTAATGGTATCCCATTACAAATACACGTTTTTTTTGTTAGACATATCAAAACACACACTAAAGTCAACTCCTGCTCATTGCATTCTAATCTAACTCCTTGTTAAACTGTAAGTTTAAAGAATTCATTGGGTCAGTATGAGATTAATTGTTCACATTTGATCTACACATCATGATAAGGGACAGAATTAGTAGGAGTCCCATTATACAAGTATCTTATTATACTAGGGGCGTTTATCATTTTATCTTCTCAAAATAATTCAGATCTGATACCCGTAACTGAATTTAAACATCAGTGCCATAATTAAAATATGTCTGGAATAATGACGGTACATAGCACTAATCAATTTGACTTCCCCTAAAAGAATAGAGGGAACTCCCCTTAAAAGTAATCTTTGTCTTTGCATATAATGGACAATTAAGATGTATCTAACACCGTTTTCAGAGGTCTGTGCTGGGGTTACTCATGACGCCTTTCTGCAGTTTAACACCCTGTGGAAAGCCCTGTTGTACTGTGTTCAGTTAGAAATCTAAACCTTTTCTCTAATGTTTTTAGCACTAGGTGCTTTTATTCCTGTCTCTTATACACAATCCTAGGTGGGAGAAACTGCAGCTGTGGCTAGGGTGTGTGTTGGGATTTTGAAAATATAAATTGCAGATGCTGAGGACCTGTGTGTTTCTTTCTGTTTTCTTTTGCAAGTGGAAGCGGCAAACCACATGACCCAAAGAATACAGCAGAGGGAGCTAGAGGCACAGCAGGTGAGACCTTGAGCTGGGCTGTGTTTTCTAAAGCACTCAGGAGCTCTCCTGGAGCTTGAGAGAAGTGCTGCTTTTTAATCGGTGTAGACAGCACCAGATAGGCAGGCAGCAGTGCAGTTTCTCCTCCATGCGAGTGCCAAATAAGTGATACTGCCAGAACACAGTCCACTAGCAGCAGTTGTGTGTGAGCGTCCTTCCGATTTTTTATCCACTTCTTCCAGTTCTGGGTCGTGGGTGATCTGGAGCCTCTCTCCGCGGGGCAGGGTACTCCCTGGGTGAGACGCCAGTCCATCCATCTCAGGGCAAACGCACACAAACACGGACAGGCACACTTTTGTAGTTTTCCAGAAGGCAGTTACACCAGCAGCATGTGTCTGGACTGTGGGAGGTAGCCGGAGCACTGGGAGGAAACCCACGTGAACTCGAGGAGAACATGCAAACTCCACACAGAACGCAACCCGGGTCCAGAATGGATCCCAGGGCTGCGAGCTGCTGACTACCGCTCCATGTGCACTCCTGTATAACAGCAAACAAAGGAAATCTAATCTGTTGTGAATTCACACTTCTTTACAGTCCCTCTTTGGAAAATATTCCGTTCTATTTAAGTGTACCTGCAGGTACAGAAAAGAAGCTCTGGTGCTGTTCTGTGTTGCCTGCCCTCATTGACCTGCAGTGTTCTCTCCCCATTGCAAATGACAGCTTGCTAAAGGCACAGAGGTTTAGGAGAAGTCGTTTAGGAGGACAGAAGTCACCAAACTGAGGTGACGTTTTTGTGTTAGCTGGGAAGTGAGCAGAAGTTACTTGCATATATTAATCTTCAGTTAAATTTGCCTTAAATCAATTGAAATTGGAAAAAATACAGTATGCAGCCGTTAAAGTGTAAAACGTTGTTTTTTTCTGTTAGGTCATTGTCTTTGTATTTGAATATAAAATACCCACTATAACTGATATTCATCTGTCATGTATGTCATGTATGTTTAGAAGTTGCATGCCATATAGAACCAAAAAAGCATAGTGTTCTTTTTTAAAACGATCTGAAATTAGAATATATCCGATACAGTGTGTACTTCTTATGTGGCTGAGGTAAAGAATAATCTTCATATTTTATGTTTTACATCTTTGAAAAACTTTGCCATTATTGTCTTTCACAGTAATGTCTTACACATACATTTTGTTGGTAATTTTGCTTTGGGGAAAGTGAAAATGATTTATAGTTACATTTGTCCTAGTTTTTTTACAGATTATTTTCTTTTTAATTTCTTAATGCAATACATCAAGCTTCCTCTACAGACCCATAAATCCTGGCTGCTAACTCACTGAGATAAAATAATATATAAGATTGACAGCACTTCCGAGAATAGTGCTGTTAAAAACAGATTTCCCCAGAGGAAACTCGGAGTTGTGATGTCAGTAGTGGAAATTCTTTTGTTGTACACTTTCGAGAACATTAAATCCACTGAGAAACTATCCTTAGAAGATGTTTGGCATTGGCATACTGAAGATGTGAAACATCACATTTGCTCTTGTATTCCAACTGTCTAAATGGATTGCGTCTCTCAGTGCTTATGGGGATAATTTACTACAGATCACAAAGCATATCTCTCGGAGGGAAATGTTTCCAAACAGGGTTTAGCACTTTTTTTTTTCTTACTTGTTGTGGCCAAAGTATGAAAAAGGGGCTGTTAGAAAGCAGTTAGTCCATTTCAAGTTAGTAAAACATTAACTGTTTTAGGTATTCATTAAAAAGGTAAAAGAAAATATACTTGCGCAGTATGGATCCCGTAATCTGCCTTCAGTACTTTTGAATGTGTAATTCTTGTTGGACCTGAACTGAATTGTGCCTTGACCCATCCCTTCGTTAAAGCTAAACATGAAAAAAAAAGTCCCATAAAGAGTTTAATGTTCCAGTTTGAGCTAATTACATACTTCATGGAAACTAAAAGAGGGAAAGTTATGCAGTAATAAACACGAGATAGCTTAACATTCATATTTGTATATTTGTATATTAAAATGTCCTATGCATGATAATATTACGTGTCTTTGTAAAATGCATGTAAGTTAGTTAACCTGTCTTCTATGGTCCTTCAACTGTTACTAAAATTTGTATTCATCAGTTTTTTTTTATAATAAGATGTGCTTTTCCAGAATCTGGTTTCGAGGACCAGTTTACGAGTTCTACAATGGAAACCATATAAATTGTCTCCTCCAACATTTCTTTCCCGGTCAAGTCGCTCGCCACGCCCTGGCTGCTTCTGTTGCGCTCGAGATCATGTGGCCGGGGGAAATGGGAGGAGGTACCGAGAAGGTGTTTGCCAGCCTGGAGCCTCTCTCCAGCCTGACTAGCTTCACTGATGGCTGACCATGCTCTCCCCAGAGCCCCGGGCTGCAGGCCCACGCGGAGAGACACCGGGCCGAGTGGGAGGAGTTCCTGAAGGAGCAGGGCCGCAAGAAGGAGGCCGTCGAGGAAGAGCACGCCAAGGCCGTGGGGCGGCTGAGCGCCCAGTACAGCGAGATGGCCAAGGGCCTGACCCGGTTCTCCCACTTCTGAGCTCTCCGCGCGCGGCGGGGGCAGGTCTCCGCGTGGCCCAGGTCTGCCCAGCTGGGCTCGCACCACAGCGGCGTGCCGAGCAGCGTCAGCGGAATTCTCTGAAGCTGTCTGGATCAGAAGTCAGGTGGGGAAAGGAAGCCATCTGGGCTGTGCCTTAAAACAAAAAAAGTTCTGTCTGGGCACGACAGGAAAAAGACGTTTTCTGTTTCAAGTTGCCGACGTGTGTTTTAACCCATGGAGATGAACCATAACGTCATTTGTTTGCAAAGCGATTGGGGATTTCTTAGGGTTATAGTCTTGATGTTTCTGACGTCGCCTGTCACAAAACAGGGTTTTCTAAGAGCATTGTCAAATGTCGGTTGGATTTTGTGTTGTAGACGAACAGTCCTGCAGCTGAAAAAATGCAGTTTCAGCACTAGATGCAAGAGTGTGAAGCACGTGTGGGTGATTCACACCTCTGGTGATTCACTGCCCATTTTTTTAGACTAACTTCAGGGGAAAAGCCTGTGTCCTCTTGCAGGCAGTCCACAGCTCTGCTGCCAAGATTTACCCATATAAATAACGATGACTGACCCTAATTGAAATGATGGCTAAATAATAATAAAGACAGTTCCATGTAAAGCCGCTTTATGGATTAAAGTTCATTATTATTGTTGAAAGTGCATGGAACCGAAGAGCCAGAAAGTGTTAAGCTTTGCAGTTCCCTCCGTGTTCAGGCCTCAACAATGGCTGCCTGTTAGAATAGATGGCAGGTTTTCAAAGCTGCATTCCTGGAATGCTGAAAAATGTGATTAACCTCAGCAGATGAGACAAAATAAATATTTAAAAAGACTTTCATTAGCATTGAATGGGGGCCAGACACTTTTTTTTTTTCACACATCCATTGTAGGGGTGACAGCTTATCGAATGTATGAAAATAAACTGCAATGCTTCAGACATGATTTATGCGTTTTAATTTTGTAATTGGAACACTTCGGGATGGTTTGTTGGGGAAAGGCTTCATGCTTTTGGCAGGCAAACCTCGGGCAGAAATGACATTCTGCGTGAAATTTTAAAAGTACCGTACAGCTGTTAAATGACTTTAAAGTGATGGTGCTTTATTTTGTTTTCATTCAAAAGTGGCTCACTGTACTGTTCGTGACTGCTTTTTTATTGTACTTGATAGGTCTCTGACTTGGGCCAGACTAAAGCTTGGATTCCTAATTGACTTTAGAAAGGTCAGACGGCCTTTGGTTTCACAAGCAGCTGTTTCGCTCGCAGTGCAGCCCTGCACACCTGGCGCTGTGGCTTGTCAGAGTCCAGGCAGCCACTGCGTTTCACTCTTGAGTGACAAGGCAAAACTGCAGCCCTTTTCCAAAAGGGCGTGTGCTGTCCGCTCAGAGTTAAGAAAAAGCTGCGCGCTTTCAGGCATTTTCACTGCGGCATCACCTTTGGAACATGAAAAACTGTAAAACAAAACAAAACTGGCTTGTTAAATAGTAAAGATTCTTTGCAGGCATTTACTGAAACATTACTGATCTAGAATGAAAATGCCATTGCATTCCGGCCCTGTTTTCCTTTCATCGGTGACTGTTAAAGCATCAGACAATTTGATGACTCCCGTCCATGAGGTGCATCCGTGAGAAGATGACTAATGCTGTAGAATTAAATAATTAGGTCAGGAAGAAATACTCCCTTTCTTTCCTGAGCTGGTTGGGTTTAATTTCAACTTAATTCCTTTCCCCTTTTTTGTGCAAGGAATGCCTGAGTGTCTATGGTAACAGATCTAAACCTGATCCTGGCTGAGCAATAGATTGATGGTTCTATTAAACAAAGTGATAACAGTATGTCTTTTTTACCCTCTTTTCATGTACTGGTTTTCAGGTTGGACCTTGTTCTGTTTTCACGCTGTACATGGGCTTTAATTATAAAAAAAGAAATGGCTTTGGGCTGGGTTTTGTTAAACATTGATTTGCCCCCTTCCCAAACCAGGGCTGAAGGCAAATGTAAATCTGGTGGGTCTGAGACTTCGTATTTCCACAGTGCACACCATAGGCTGTACGGATGAGCGCGGGCTTTGCAATAACTAAACCAGTGTATCCTGGCCTTGCTGTGCCAAGAACACTGAAGGACCTGTCCATGTTTTCGTCTCCAGTCTCTATCAGAGCTGTTGTGTTCTTCCTGTTATGGGAAAAGTGAAGTGGTCCAGAGGCCATGCACAGAGTATGCAGCCATGCCAACATAAATTGTCAAGGAAAAAAGCACAGAAGCCCAGCTCTAAAAAAACTGAAAGGTGCCTGGAAAAAGTTTGCCTGCAGCCCGTTCTATTTCTGAGGGGGGGGGGACGATGACTGAAGAAACTGAACCTCAAGTTCTTCATCGAGGTCAATGACTGCAGCTTCAGGGTGATGGGTACGACAGCAATGCATCATATCGAGGAGTGCCACATTGTGAACATCCAGCCACAAGCCATGGCTGGATGAGATCCCTGGATCAGTCAACTACTATCTATAAAAAAAACAGAAGGTTTGCCCAATATCCTGCCCTCGTTGAGACCCTTTCTTCTGTTTTTATCCATGGCAGGCGTTTTTTAATTTCGAGCAGGGCTGGGCAGTCTTGCTGCCAAAGGGCTGATGTTTTTGTGGGTTTTCAAGCTGCGTTTGAGGCTCCAGCACCTGAAGGGCTGGAAGAACTCGTTCACTGGCTCAATGGGATCGATCTGTGTGCTAACTTAGGTTAGCTAATAGCTGGGTTGGAATGAATCCTTGCAGACACCACTGGCTCTCCAGGACCAGAACTGTTCACCTCTGCTCTAGCAAACAACAGCTTAATAGGCTCAGCCCGGCCCGTATGGGATTTTCTGAGCTGCTGTGCTGGCAGGGTGAGACCTGGGCATTGCTCGGAACAGCTTCTCATTTTGAATGGTGTCCGGGCCCTGTCGAGCCAGAGGCAGGCTCATTGCATTTCAGACACTGTGGTTCGGAGCTGCAGGATGGCTACGAGACAGTCACAGCTTGCTCTGCTATATACAGTAGTAGATCTAGGTGCAAATGTGTACCACTTGCCAGAGGAACCTTGCTTTCTGATATATGTCCTGTGGTGATGTGGGCTAACTCATAACTACTGTCTTGGGGTCGCACTTGGGGTCATGTTTGTAGCCCTGGTTTCCTGAAAGAGAAGACAGGCCCTGAGACCTGAGGTCTCTGCACTGGAAGTGACGCTAGATGTCAGTTTGAGAGTGTTGAGACTCAATTCGTGTGGGAGGCCGGACCCCAGACACAGTCAACAGCAGCAGACCGTCCCAGGAGCCACTACAGGAGATGACCCCTGAGGTGCAGAGGTACTTGAAGAAGAAGAAGACCGCTGAGAGATCCAGTCTTTCGGGAAACCAGGTTAGTCTAACCTCTTTACCTGTGATTCTGGAGGGGAGGAAACACAAGGGGGTCAATGGCATGTCAGGTCTTAATTGGCCACATTGACAATAAAAGTGTAATAAATAAGTGGAACTGATGGAGGCAATACAGCACCCCAGTTAAGAGAAAATGGCACCAGACAGAGCAGAAATCTTTTTTCTACCCCTCCCCTCGCTCCCCGAAGTTCCCCTTCTCTTCCTGTAACTCACCATGAGGTTGGAACTGGAAGAATGGCCAAAAGGCAGGAAACCCTCAGGAGCACATCATGTCATTAAGAGCACCGTTTACTGAACTGGCACTTTTCAAAAAGCAAAACCTCTGTTCTAAGGCCCTAGTGGTAGGCTGGACCTGTAGCATGCCGTGCCAAAAGAAAATGTTTTATTAAAAATTAATAACTTCATCAGAAGCACTTTCATATTTCCATTCAGATTACAAATGTTTATTTTATTCGACCGTAATCCTAAGCAATTTACATTGGCACCCATGTACAGAGCTTAATGTTTGCTGATGTCATTTGGGTGAAGTCTTGTTGGACGGAGCAGCAGTGTTTCATCTGAGATTTGATGTTAACCTTTTAAGTTTTAGGTCCAGATCCACTGTTCCATACTCCTGCCCCTAACAAAATTTAAACAGCAGCACATAGTTCTACTTTTGAATTGAAATTATTAACCAAAACCTGGTGGTCAATATTCCTATTTGGCAATTTCTGTAATACTCCTTGAAAAAAAAAACGAGTCTCGTTTTCCTCGTCAAGTTCATTGTTTCGCTCATGAAATCAACTCATCCAAAGACACGCTTTGTTTTTTCGGTGAGTCGGACAGATTTGTGTGTCAGCCAAGCTCAGTCCAAAAGCAGAGATAACGGCCAGGAACAACAGCGGCCTTCCTCAGTCAATCAATCTGGAACAATGACCAGAAAGGACACGGAGAATGGCTGTCATCACAGCACCGAGAGACACAGGGCTGTTGGAGCTGCTTGTTTTTGTCCAGAGGGCAAGGAATGTCTGGAGTCCTTGCCAACATACTTCAGCTTTTTTTTCCACTTTTCATTTCAATTAGCAATTGTTTGTAAAGACGTACTTTACATTTTTTTCAAAGTTGCTCCTTTTAATTGTTGACTTAAGGTGCAGTGTAAAGCGATGACTTCATTAGTATATTTTTGTTGTTTTTTTTTTTTTTTACAAAAAAGGCTATCGGGTCATCTTCCATGTCCGGAAATCTCTCATTACAATTTATGCAGCCATTGCTGGAAAAAAAAAAGAGATAATGTTATGATTCCTTGAATACATTTCTTAATGAAAGGTTATCTAGTTGGAATAAGGTGAAAGGGAAGCCAGTGGAATTTTTTGGAAAAGAAACAATGAAACGTCAATACACAAAAAACATCCTTCTTCCCCTTTAAATAAACTCATGCTAAAGGTGACAGCATACACTGCAGATTCTCCCATAAACAGTACACACATTTTTTTATGTATTTCTTTATTGTGATAAATGTTTTGGGTGCCCCTATCAAGATCCTGAGATCAGTGAGTGCTTTAAGGAGTGGAGTTGTGCTAATAATAAAAACAATATACAGTATTTTTATTAAGTCTGAAAAAACACATGGAATGAAACATACAGTTAATGCCTGGGGAGTATTTTCCAGACTGAAGGGGAGGTAACTTTACATATTTCACTTGATTAAGGCAGCAGAAAAATTGTGGTCAACACGAGAGCTCTAAAGACTATTTTTGTACACAAATTATTCTGAAAGTAGCAATTCTGAGACCAAGGGACTATCAGGAAAGCCCCTCAACCTCAGGTTATGTAAAGCACACAACTGCGATGAAACAAGTCCAGGGTGGTTTAAGCAATAAATTTGTACCACACTTTCGGGTACGCAAAAATGATATTGTTCATTCAGTATATTGCCTTGTCTACATGACAAATTGAAATATTCTTATTGACTGCCTAATCTTGCCAGCACCAGTATTTAGCAGTATATGCCTTTGCCAAAGAAACAGGCTTGTTTGAAATAACCACAGCTATTTAATTGTGAAAAAGCTCTTGCTAGACTTCTGAGTAGCTATACTGTATGTTTGTGCTCACTGCATATCTCCGTGTGCATTGTTTCCTTGTTCACTTTTAGTTTTTTGAACTGAACAACTCTAAAGCAGAAATTCTGATCCCACCACAAATGGCACTGTGTGCAAAGCAAAGCCTGCAAAGCCTAGAAAATGAGCTTGTATTTAAATCTGTGTGATCAGGGCAGCGTCTTCATGACTTATGTAGGGTTGGTTTGTGGAACCAAAACAAAAGCAGAACGGGAGGAGAGACATTTCTACACCCATTCGGACCTTTGACCTTTTTTTTTTTTCGTTGTTGTTGGGGGTTTTTGTTTGCCGTTGACCATTGTTTTTTTTTTTTTAGGCGTTATTAACCCCTTCGGTTACCGGGAGGGCGGTTGACCCCATTTTTTTCCTTTTGCGGCCTTATTTTGGGCTTGCCCCGGGGTTTCAGACCGTGGCTTATGAAAAACAGATGAGCAGATTTGATTTCTGTCAGGCGGGGAGCGAGTTCCATCCTGCGTAGAAGTGGGTTCTGCAGGATACCCTGGTTTCCCGCATTTCTTTGTGACAAAGATTACCTTTCAGCTTCCCTGTTCTACATTAAATTCATATTTAGGGCGCAGAGCTAGTTTAGATCAGAAAGAATCAGAAAGAAAGTACTGTAGTTCACCTATTGGTTGAGGTTCCTATAAATTAAATCCCCCCCGGAAACCATAAGGAACGCGACCGTGGCAAGTGTTCTACCGTCTGTTCACTGTCATCAAGCAGGCTCATGGTTAGGAAAACTGGTACAGGAGGGACAATTGAGTCTTGCTCTGTGGCAGCTATGGGCACCCGGCTCTCTCTAGATCCACAGTTCTCAGGCACGTCACTGTGCTGACCAAGGTGTGCTGGGTACTTGGCTCGGCCTTTCAGAGGATGAGAAGTCTGGTCTTGAAGTCATAGCCCATGACCCATACTTCCGTCCTTCATTTCATTTCATATCCCAGTTCTTTATGAACCATTACCGGTTTTTCCATAAGGCACCATGACGCACAGTATTTAAGGCCCTGGATGAAATGTGGAGGAATGGCAGTAGCTCAGCATGGGCAGGACCTTGGATAGAGACAGTGTTGAATCCCGTGGGTCAGCCCTCGGTGATGGGTGAGGTGCAAACCCAAGCCTGGGTTTTACAAGACGTGTGTCCTCGTTAATAAAGAGCAAAGCTATCCTAATTAGGCCATTCCTGACCCAGCCCTTAACAGTTTCCAAGTCCTAATCTTGCCAGCATTGACAGCATTTTCTAAATGAGCTATTGGAAAAAAAAAACCCGAAGAAGAAGAGCAGGTCAGCGTATTGCTGAAAACATCATTAAAAGAGTGGATGACGCATTGCTGTGGGGTAAGTACTGGAAGACGTACAGTATAAGGACAAAAAGTCAGTGAGCTCTGCAGAGGAAGGGAGAGGCGGCCTTGCAAATGGTAATGAATGGTTTCGACTTGTGTGTGATGCACCTGGTGTAAGTTTCTTGGACTTTGGTTTTTGGAGAGAATACTCCCAGCTGCCAAAGTCTTGTGTCAAGTGTAGCCATTAAGTGATTGGTACTGTAGCTAATCCCAGCTGTTGTAAGTAGTGTGGCCAAATTGCTGTTGGCACATGTCTTCTCGGTGCTCTTGGCTGTCTGAGTCAACGTCAGAGCTGCTCATGGGAAGGGAATACACCAGGCTTTGAGGCAGAGGCACTGTGGCTCCAGAGACCAAGGTGTGTTAGCGCTGGACGGCAGTAAGCAGGAAGGAACATTTCACACAAACCTGGGCATGAATGCACTCTCATTTAAGTCCACCTTCTCCAGTCTTCCTCCTAACAGTTCTGCAGGAGTACAAGTAATACCTTGAGTGTCCACACAGCTGCAAACTTTTCCCTTGCTTTGTCCTGAGCTCCAGCACAGGAGCTGACCCTGCCTTAAACTGTGATCCCCAGTTCCCCAAGTCCCATCGCTGGCACAGACCCGTCCCAGCTCCGACACTAACCCCACACAGTTCAGCAAGCCAGATGAAGAAAATGGACTGACTAGAATAGCATGTAACAGAGAAATGATTCTTGTTTTTGTTTTTAAACTAAACAAATGGTAGTGAGTATTAGTCCTACATGATAACCCAGCTTTCCATCTGTACCTTAAAGTAGAATGGCATGATTTTGATTTCAGGAGATTTTTTAGATTGCCATACAGAAAGAAGTAGGGGCGACACTATCCAGACTGTCCAGTCTATCCTATCCAGACAAATGTTATTAAACAAGAATTCACCCACTGTCCTGGCCTTTAATTATAACCCTGACTCAGCCTAACCCAATACTAATTCCAGTACGACTTCTGATTTTGTCCTTTACTACCAGCTCTCCCCAATTCAGCACCTAACTTTGAAGCCAAAACCTAACCTTCATTGCACATCAAGACAAGTAAATCCAAATCACACCCACACGCACCCTTCTGATACATGTATTCTGTGTCGTTTGCTGACATGAACTGTAACCCTTTCTCCACGCTGTTCTTCTTTAGTGCGTGGTTAAATGGAGGTTAGACGGTCAGCTGCAAGCAGTATCGGACCCGGGATACCATTAGGTTTAAATGGAAATGCAGTCACAGTTGCAGCACTGGTGTCAGAGTTACTACACCGGAATATGTTGACAGTATTAATGAATGCTTTGGGCGAGTTTAGATGAGGGTTCACTTACCATTCAGAATGGGTTCAGGGTTAATGCGTTGGGTTTCTTCAGGTTTATTGAGTGGAGGGTTGGGCTAGAACGTTGTTTAGGGACGGACTTGTCGTTTCACTTCTTGTCCTGACACATAGTAGGAGTTGCCACGCCAATGTTTCAAAACCCGAGCGCCCATTTCCTCTTCCGGGGAAAACCCCAAGAAAGGCGTTCCTTTCAGTGAGAAAGAAATAAAGTC